CCTGACTACACGGGCTGACAGTGTCTGTTTGTCCAGCTCTGTCTTTCACACAAGACGAGGGGGCTCATTGCAGACCAGGCTGAGAGGCTTCAGGAGCCCTGTGGCAGCCGGGGCGAGGTACCTGTAGCCATCGATGGAGCTGGCGTTGATGTAGTCAGAGCCCTCCACGCCACGAATGGGCTGTAGACACACCCGCGTGCTCTCGTAGGGCATGATGTTCACCAGGCGGTTCTTGAACTTGTTACAAGGCAGGTTGGCACTGATGAAACGGGATGTGTGCGCCTTGGAGTTGGCCAGCCGCTATGGGGACGTGGAAGGGACATCATCAGGACGGCTGCTATGGACTGAATTGTGCCCCCCAAAATCCCACTGCCACTGAGTGGATTCCAACTCATCGCCCCTTGAGGACAGAGTACAGCTGACCCATGTGGTTTCCAAGGCTGTCAATCTTTACCAAAGCAAAGCCCAAACCAAACCCACTGTTCTGGAGTCGATTAGGACTCACAGTACCTCTAGAGGACAGAGTGGAACTGCCTCATAGGGTTTCCAAGGTTGTAATCTTTACAGAAGGAGACTGCCTCATCTTTGTCCCACGGAGTAGCTGGTGGGTTCAAACTGCTAACCCTTCAGTTAGCAGCTCTGCACTTAACTACTGTGCCACCAGGGCCCGCTCCTGCAAAAATACGTGTTGTTGAATCCTGGTCCCTATGCCTGCGGTTATCACCCCATGGGCGAATAGGGTTTTCTTTGGTTAATGAGGCAGTAACAGTGAAGGGTATGCCTTGAGCCAATCTCTTGATAAAGAAGAGCAAATTCAACAAGCCAGCACAGAGGGAGAGTAAGACACCTAACACATGATCTCTAAGGAAGAGGAGCCCAGAAGCTGGAAGGAGACAAAGGCCTTCCCCCTGAGCCCACAGACAGCAAAAGCCTTCCCCTAATTCAGACTCCCGGCCTCCTAAATGGTGAGAAGAAATGTATGGTAAAGCCCAAGACAGGCCTCTGGCCTGAGGCCTGCTTTACTCTGATCACTATTGGTTAGCTTGGAGACCTGGCCCCTCCCTCTAGGCTCCGCCCACTGGGGAAAAGGCCCCGCCCCTGCCCAGCCCCATCGGTACCTTGAATTCCAGCTCCATGCCCGTGACGTGCTCGCCGGGCTCCACCTGAGCCAGCTTCTGGATGTAGGCGTAGAGACTGCGGGCGGGCACCTCGGTGTTGCCGCACCCCACGGCCTCGAGCAGGGCCTCGTGGATGAAGCTGTACTGGTCTTCTGTCTGCACCATGTAATTGCGCTGGGACCGCATAAGCGTGACGTGGCCGTACACGTCCACCGTCTTTTCTGGCTTGATGCGCTCCAGCATGGCATCGATGACGATGAAGCAGCCCGTGCGGCCCACGCCGGCGCTGCGGGCAATGGGGCAAGGTCAGGCGCTGCTGGGGGGTGAGGGGTGTACGTGGGGAGTGTGGAGGATGGGCCGGGCCCTGGGGCATGGTGGGCAGGGGTTGGTGGGGAGGACAGGGCTCTGGGGGCAGGTGTGAGAAATGAGGCGAGTCCCCTTAGTGGGAATTGGGCGGGGCTGGAGTAGGAGGGGCCCGTGGAGAGGTGAGCGGGCATTGAGTGGTGGGCGGGGCTGAGTGGTGGGCGGAGCTGAGCACATACCTGCAGTGGACCACGATGGGGCCTGCATCAGGCGGGTTGCAGGTCTTGACTCTCCGCAGGAAGGCCAGGAAGGGGGTTGGGTACTCTGGTACCCCATGGTCTGGCCAGGCTGTGAACTGGAATTGCCGGACCTCCCGCTTCTCACTGGAGCCATTCTAGGGAGTCACAAGGATGACAGTGCCACCACCAGGTCCTGCTGGCCACCCACGTGAGGACGCCCAAGCTCACATGCTGACCTGGCCATCCCCTGAGCTGCCAAGTTGTTGTCCAGTGTCCTCTGATGTATCCACATGGGTGTCTCACACAACACGGCCAACCTCCCCTGAAACCCACTCCTCTCCTGGCTCCCCTTCCCAGCTGAGGGCAGCTCTCCTTCCTAGGCATCAGGCCATAACCTGCGAGTCGCCTTCAACAACCCCCCTCCACTCCTCTTCTCCACGCCTCCTTTCCTTTCCATGCAAAACATCAGCCAAAACGTTCAGTGGTGCCCTCGAATTCTACCCAACACCTACCCACTTCTCATCTGCCTCCACTTGGTCCCTTGCCCCAAAGTCTGTCCGCCCTGCAGCAGCAGCCAGAGGGCACCCGTGAGCACCTGAGTCAGGGCCTGGCCTCCTCCCTCCGGCAAAAGCCCAAGTCTTCCTCCCAGTCCACAGAGCCCTGTGCTACTTGTCTCGTCCCCTCCTCCTCTCTCCCCGTCCTTCCCTCACTCCACTTCAGCCCAAAAGGCCTCCATGCAGTTCCTCCAATTTGCTGGCCCTGGTCCTGCCCCAGGGCCTTTGCACAGCTGTGCCTTCCACCTGACACTCTACTCCTCAGGTCCCCCCACGACTCCCTCTCTTCTGACACCTATCTTTTCGGGCTCTCTCTCCTACCTGTAAGAGTTCTTGTGATCTACAAATTGATTATCTGTGTCTTGCCCGCTACACTGTAAGCACCACAAAAGCAGGGCATTTTCTCTGTCTTGGTCCTTACTGGGTCCTGGTGCCCAGATTAAGGATAGATTGGGGACTGGCACAGTTGGCCCTTAATAAACGTTTAGTCAGCGAACCCTGAATGAACTGAGACGCTTCTGAACCCTCCTGTTTGTCTAAGAAAGCCTGGTAGTGCAACAGTTAGGTGCTCAGCTGCTAACCAAATAGTTGGCAGTTCGAACCCACCCAGTGGCTCCACAGGATGAAGACTTGGTGATCTGTTCCTGTAAAGATGACAACGTAGCTGCCCTATGAGGCAGCTCTCCCTTGTCACCTGGGGTCGCTAGGAGTCGGAATGGACTTGACAGGACCTGGGAACAACGGGCAGCCCGTTCACCTGCTCGGTTCCTTACCCTGTTTGTGCCAGGCCCCGAGCTGGATGCTGGGGAGCTGACCCTGTTTTAGGGAAACTCTTGTGCATGTTTAGTTTTCGGAAAGGCCGAGCTTTCTGACCGGGGCAGGCCAGGTCAGAGGGCACATGGAGGAAGGGCTACTTGGGGGTGATGAAGTCAAGGAGCAAAAGATAGGCTTAGAGCAAGCTAGACTGTGGGTTACATCTTCCTGCCGTGGCTGGGGGACTAGCATCATCTCTGAACCTCAGTTACCTCACCTGGGAAGGGGGCTGCATGAGAACACGGGCATGCTGGGCCATCTCTCCGACCCATGAGAGCTCCCAGGGCAGAAGCTGGGGCCCCTGTCTACCCCAAACCACCTGGCCCCAGACCATACTACCTTGTGGAGTGAGAAGGTCCGCACGCAGAATGTGGCCAGCTCGATGGTGTCCAGCAGCGTGACCTGGATGAAGCCATAGGTCTCTGTGCCACGGTTGGGCCAGTATTGGTCACATTTGATCTGCAGTGGGCAGGAGACCAGGATGTGAGCAGGGGCCAGGGCTGCCGAGAGCTCAGGGGTGTGGAGGCACTGAGGTCACGTCTCACCCGTGACTTCTCCTCGAGCCGTGTCATCATGACGATGGTGGCCGAGCGCTGCTCCCACACCATGCGCCAGAAGTCGCCGAAGGTCTCCGGCAGTGGGCCCTGAGTGGCGATGTACGCATTCTGCCGCCGGTAGCCGTCTACGTAGTTGGCGTTGATGTAGTCGCTGCCCACAATGCCTGCAGCCAGGGGGCCAAGGGGGACGGTCTGTGGTTGCCCCACCACCGTCAGGAAGCCCTCTCCGACCACCCAAACCTGCCCTGGGGGCCCCAAGGCTCGGACCTCTGCGTGTCTCCCCCTTGGCACCTCTGACATTTGGGGTCAGATTATTCTCTGGGATGGAGCTGTTCTGTGTTGAACAGCATCCCTGGCCTCCACCCACTTGATGCCATAGCACCCCACCTCGTCCAGTTCCGACAATGAGAAATGTCTCCAGATATGGCCCGATGTCCCTGAAAACCACTGATGCAAAGGGACAAATGGAACCTCGTGATAGATAGCAGCCACCAGTTAAATACGTGTCTAAAGACTTCCAGTGACCCTGGCCGCCGCTGCACTAGGCCTGTGACCAGACTTATGCTTTAATTCCCCACCTGCCCCCCGGCCTATCCACGCTGGCCCGGCCCCTGGGGCCCCCTATACCGCTACCTTCAATGGGCTGGAGGATGACACGGGAGTGGTCGTAGGCGATGACGTTGGCATAGCGGTTCTTGGGCTTGTTCACTTCCAGGTTGGAATGTTCCCACGTGAACTGCTGCCCTGGGTCGATGGACTGTGGGGAGAGGGGTGGCAGGTGTCAGGGTGGGTGCCAGGGAGCCCAGAGCCTGCAGGCGGTAGGCCAGCTCACCTCGTACTCCTGGGAGAGCTTGAGGCTGTCATTGGCCTTGAGGCGCTCCGTGTGTTCCGCCATGTCCGCGATGGGGATGGGCGGGTGGCTGAGCATACCTGCGGAGGAGCAGACCGCCAGCACGGCAGGTCACCCGGGGGCCGGCTGGGGCTGCGGCCACTCGACAGTGTGAGTCTGCGATGGAGCTGCGGTTAGAAGGGGGTGGGGGGTGGGCCAGCGGGAGGGAGGCTCGGGTGGCTCACGTTGGGGTCAGGGCTGAAGGTGGGTGTGTTGCTGCCGCTCCCAGGGAGCAGCGGCTGCTCATCCCAGTGCCCCCAACCCATCGGCCAGGGAAGGGTACCCCGGAGCCTTGACGCTCCCAGTGCCTTGTGGCAAAAAGCAGGTGGGTGGGACAGAAATGGATGAAGCAGATGCAGCCGGCTGGCCTTCGGGAATCCCGCCTGGGCCACCCCAGGGCAGGTTGGGGGCTGACACCTTTCTCTGCCCCTCTGGGCGTGGAGGAATTGAGGGATTAGGGAGACAGGGTGTGTGGTGTTGGAAGGGCTCCCTGTCTGTCCCTTGATTCTCAAGACCTGTTTCTCTCATCTGGCAGATGGGGACAGTGACCTGCCTTACCTACAAAGCCCCAAGGTGTGGCTGCTGGACAGAGTGGGCTTGGGGTTCACTCCCCGTTTCTGACATCCTGGTCAGCTGGACCCCTCTCCTCTCCCATGGCCTTGGCTGTGCGTGCACTCACACTGTCTACACCTGTGCACAGCTGATGTCACAAGCACAGAAAGTTCCCGCACGGAAGGACCAAGTATGAATACGGTCAGACTTCCGGGTGCTGTCGGGGGCCACTGAGTGCGAGCAGAGCTGCCCCGTGGGATCTCCGAGGGCGTCATCTTTACGGGAGCAGATCTCCAGGCCTTCCTCCCACAGAGCCACTGGGTGGATTCGAACCACTAATCTTTCAGTTACCAGCTGAATGCTTCATTGTTTTGAAACCAGGGCTCCTTAAAGATTTCTAGGCCAGATGGTAAAAAGCTGCTGCTCTGAGCAACCTCCATGTCCCCCGACACCCTGGATGCTTCCTAAGAACCCACATTTAGGGGCCCCGGGACTCTGTCTGCCCACATGGCTGGCCACTTGTCTGACTGGCTTATACCCCTGCTATCACGTGTGCGGGCTCCTGTTCTGTCCACGTCTCACCCTGTTCACATACACGTGTACACTCCACACGCATACACATGTCCCGAGAAGCCAGCGTAGGACAGGTGGGCAGAGGCCAGCTGGGGTGGATGTGCGGACAGAGACAGGGTGGGATGGAGAAACCAAAGATGAGGACAAACGGGGGGAGGGTGCGAAAGGAAGCCGAGAACAGAGAGACACAGGAACTAACTTTCAAAGTGAAACCCCGGCTCCCTGAGGGGGCTGCTGAGGCCTGAATCTGCAGAAACAGCAAACAATAAATAAATGAAAACACGCCTCCTCCACCCTCACTGGGTGCACGCAGAGCAGTCAGCCAACAAATGCAAAGGGTGGGGCAACTTAAACCCGAGAACCTCTTCTTCAGCCGAGACTCCGAAGCTTTAGGGCTTTCTGTCCACATGGCCCCCCGAGACCAGGCTGGCCTCAGATCCCCTGCTAAGGTCAGCCCAGGTGACGGAGGAAGGAGGTGGCAGGACAGTGAGGGAGAAACCAGGGGTAAGAGAAGGGCGTATGGGCCCATGCCATGAGTTTTGAAGAAGGACAGCAGCCATCAGTTAAATATAAATGTTTCAAATTCACATTTGGATGGAAACAGAACTGAAATGAGCTGACCCAGAGACAGACAGGAAGGAAAAGGGAATATGTTCGAAATGATAGCTGAGGCCTTGCATGAGCCCTTAAGGAGGTCTGCAGCCATCAGTTAAATAAAAATGTTTAAAATTATTATTTGGATAGAAAGACAAGTGACAGGAGTCAATCCAGAGACAGGAAGGAGACAAGACCAACATTAGGAATGACATATGAGACCTTGCGTGATCCATTTAGGAAGACGGAAGCCATCAGTTAAATGCAAATGTTTACAATTCTCATTTGGATGGAAACAAAACTGATACGAGCTAGTCAAGAGACGGGAAAGAGAAAGGGTACATCATGAATGGCACGTGAGGCCATGCATCAGACCTTCAGATGGAATGCAGCCATCAACTGGAAGTTTTACGGTTAGCTGGAGACACATTTGAAAAGAACTGGCTGAGATACAGGAGGCGAGACTGGGCTGCCAGAGGAGGGTCAGACTCCATCACGCTGAGTCCGTAAGGAGCAGCAGCCATCAGTTAAATCAAAACCCCTTATTAGTCAGAAGCAGCTGGCATGAGCCCATTATGAGGGAAGAGACAAGGATGAGCGTGGGGCACCGGATATGAGGATGATCAAGGGTAAAACCCTAATCCTGTTCTCCCGCCAGGAAGCTATGAGGAAGCAGACAGTGCTGGTGGTGGCATGAGCTGCAGGGGCTACTGAGGAAGTAGGTACAGGCTCTGTGCCTCCCAGGGGCACATTCCAAGGGGGTACGGAAAGTGGCTGAGGACAAACCTCTGTGCTGGTCACCGAATAGCATTAAGACTAGACATTTAAACAGAAGCACAGCTCTTCCTGCCAGAAGACAGGAAGTGTTTTTTCCTTTTCAGTTTGTAGATGCCCTTACGCTCCTGAACAAGACAGTAACCACCAGTGAGGGGAAGGCAACTTTGCAAAAGCCTGACTTGGCTGCAAGCAGAACCACCCCATGAGCGTTCTAAGCCCCGATCCCCACACGGTGGGAGATACCAGGGGTCAAGAACTTCATCGCAGCACGCACAGTATTCAGTGGGGCAGAGGAGGGTGTGGCCCAACTGGCAGCTTCCTCCTTCCTCCAGCCACCTCTGCCGGCAGTGCTGTCCCAGGCACACAGGCTTGCCAGGTACCAGGGATAAGCATGTACCTGGGGTCTGGAAGTTAATGCGTCTCATCTCCACAGGGTCCTTGGGGTGGTGGGGGGCGAGGTCAGCATTGTTCAGGAGGCATTTGGTACGAGGCTCCGAGTCTTTGCGTTTACTTCAAGGGGAGCAAATGAAAAGTCAGGTGAGTACCTGGTGTACCCAAAGACACTGGGAGACACAGGAATGGGATTCGGGCAGCAGGCATGTGATCCCAGCAGATGGGAAAGGGCTGTGTACGTGTGACTGAGTATCCAAGACCATGTGTGGATACGTGCGTGTACGACTGGGTGTGTGGACTCACGCGTGTACACGGACGAAGGGGTAAGGGCACCCATGCATGGCCGCGGATGTGTGTGACTGGGTGTCTGGAAAATGCACAGAAGGTGTGCAACCTGTGCGAGCAGACAGGTGTCCTCTTACCCCACAGGCTCGGCACCACCCCACTTCTCTCCCTCGTCCTCCTACCCTAGGCCTTCGGGGGCAGGGTCCATTCTTACCTGTCAGGTTTGCTGTTCCAGAAAGCAGGCACAAGTGAGGAGCAGGGGGAGAAAAAGAGAGGTGAAGGCATGCTGGTTGTGGGCAGTATTTTAACCTCTCTGACCCTTGCTCTCTTCTTCTAGAACAGGGGCTAATCTTGGCTTGGTCTCCTCCACCACAAGAAGGCCTATCTCGCCCCTCCCTTTCCCACCTGGGGCAAGTCCTGTGGCCATTACAATCATCCTGAAACTTGAAAGAGGCAGCCTGGATCCCCAGTGCTTCCCTCTGGGAGGCCTCAGATCCTCTTGTCGAGTGGAGTCGGGGAGTGAACAGAAAGAGCCAAACTACTGGCCTGGTTTGAACCTTAGCCTTCCCATTCCTCAGCTGTGTGACTTTTATCAAGTGGCTTAACCTCTCTGAACCTCAGTGTCCCCATCTGTGCCACAGAAGCTTCTGTGATGGTCCACTGAGATGACCCTTCTCAGGACCTCTCCCAAACCTCTTCCACGAAGCCCTCCCCCCATCATGTGTGGGGGTAGGGGCACAGAGGACTCACTTCTTGTACAAGAGGATGGCGATGACAATGCAGATGATGAAGACCACGGCCAGCACGGGCCCAATCACCCAGATGAGGCCCTCCTCACCATCTATAATGGGCTGAGGGTCAGGGTTATCCAGCTGGAAGGGGTCTGAGAAGGGGCTGGCCGCGAATGTCTGCAGGAATGGGGGAGCCCCCATCAATGCCCATCATCCTTGCGGTGGCCACGTGGGTCTTCCTCAAACACAAACTTACGTCCTCTCTCCTGCGCCAAACCCTTCTATGACTCCCAGAGCCCTCAGGAAAAAATGCACACTCCTCACTGTGACCCCTTGTGGTCTATCCCGTGTCACCCTTGCTGCTCCCCTTGTCTGTCCGAGTCACTCTGAAATCCGTCCTGCTTCTCTTGCAACGTTTTCACATGCTCGTTTGGCCACCTGGCATGCCTTGTCCTTGTTGAACTCCTGCTCATCCCTCAAAGCCCCAGCTTGAAAGTACCTTCCCCCAACTCCAATTCTTCTCCTCTCCTTCTCCTAGCCCTGACCACAGGGAGCTAGGAGTGTCTGTGTCTGGCTCTGCCTGGTGGCCGGGCCCTGGGATTAAGACTTCTTCAGGGTCCACCCGTATGACAGGGTGTGGCTGGCTGAGGGCGGAGGCCACTGGGGACTTACAGGCTCACTCTTCTGCAGCACGGCCAGCACAAAGAGCACGTATCGGTGACCGGGCTCCAGGACCCGGTTGTCGAAGCCACCATACTGCTTCTGGTCACCGGGACTGAAGGTGTGAGGCAGCACCGAGAAGCGAGCTGCAATGTAGGGCCGGGGCACCTCCAGCTGGCGCGAGTGCCGCAGGCTGCGCCTCTGTAGCCGTGAGATGTCCTGGATAAGCTGTGGGAACAGAGGCATGGGTGGCTCAGCGGCCCACTGAGAGCATGAAGGCAAGAATGTATCTGGGCCCCGCAGGGTTGGCCCCAGCCCTCACCTCTTCCAGATCCATCTCCTCTGGGCTGCCCTGCGGGGTCAGGAACTGACCTCCCCGAGACTTGCGCAGTGGCACCATCACAATGAAGTAGTTCCTGTCAGGAGGTAAGAGTCAGGGGGCTGGCTTTGGGCAGAGCTGAGGGATGCTGTCTGTTGGTGAGTGGGAGGGCCCTCTGAGTTTCCCCTTCTGCTTACAATGAGTCAATTACCCTGCCCCCTGAAGGCTACACCCTAGCCACAAACAACCCCCGTTCCTGATCCAAGCCTCCAGGACTCTGATTAGGCTGCACCTTCTGTCTAAGCAGCCCTGGTGGTACAATGGTTAGTGCTTGGCTCCTAACCGAAAGGTTGGCAGCTTGAACCCACCAGCAGTCCCACAGCAGCAAACATCTGGACATCTGCTATCATCCAGATGATAGTCTAGGAAACCTACAAGGCAGTTCCGCTCTACCATACAGGGCTGTTACGAGTCGGTATCGACTTGATGGCACACAGTGTACACGTATCCCCCTCTGGAAACTTACCCCATGCAATTCTACTGACCACACTCCTACACATCCTTCACTGACCCAGCTCTAATGCCCACACTGTCCTATAGCCCTTGAGTCTTCTCTACTTCCCAAACAGAGCCCCCTTCCCCGATGGGAACCCCAGGCTTTGATGCCTCCCACTGTCTCTGTCTCCATCATCAGACTGGGAGCCTACCCAGAACCAAATCCTCCCAGGGGCCCCAGCATGGCCCTGTACACACAGGGGTGTCAGGGAATGTTGGCCATATAGGTCGATGGTCCATGAGCTGAGGCTGGTGTAGTCCGTTTTATAGGCACAGAGTACCAGGGGTTTACTGCAGCCACACAGCTGGCTAGCGGGGCCGCATCGGGGTGAGGAGGGCTGGGGCGGGGGCGGGGGCAACAAGCGTACTGGACGGGCACGGGGCTTTGGCCATCGGGCAGGTACACCAAGACGAAGCCGTCAGCGTCGGGTTTGGGGGCCACGCTGGGCTTGGAGCTGAGCAGGTTGAAGGCGGTCCAGGCAGTGACTGTTTGCTGGAGGCCGCCCAGGCTGCTGCCACGGTTCGTCAGCACGAAGTTGTAGAAGGTGTGGGGCTTGAGGTGTGTGATGAGCCTCTTGGTGGTGCGTCCATCCACGTCCAGCGTCAGCCCGTTGTACTGGATCTGTGGGGCCGAGGTGGCTCAGCCGGGCCTGACAGAGCCCTGGGCCCAGCTAAACTCCACCAACTGCCCTAATCTGAGGCAGTTCTCAATCCAGACTGAGCCTCAGTGCTAGTGGAACTGACCCCAGCTGAACCCTGGCCCAGGGTGAGCCCACACCCCTGCCTAAGTCTGTTCCTGAGTGAGTCCTGAGCCCAGATGAAGCCCTGAGCCTGGGTTGAGCCGACCTGTCTGGGCCCCGCCCCACCCCTGCCCGCCTGTAGGCTGATGGCCACACCTTGTAGGGCGTGGGGGAGTTGTAGTTGTCGGGGAACTCCCAGCTAAGCAGGACCGATGTCTTCATGATCATCTTCACCTTGAAGTTCTTGGGTGAGACTGCGCCGGGCAGCGGCCGAGCGGGGAGAGAGCAGAAGAGAGGCTCCATGAGGAGGGGGTGTGGGGCAGGGGGCGGCCCAGGCGCTCCCTGTCGTCCGCTGTGCCTGTGCCCATGGCCTTCCTGCCTGGCCCTGGCCCGGCCCTGCCTGCCTGTCCCCAGGACCTGCTGCGGGAGACGGCGCAGCTGCAGAGAGAAGGCGAAGGAGGAAGAGGAGGAGAAGGAGGAGGGAGGGGGGACGGGGTAGGGGTGGCGGCGGGGGCGGCGGCGCCACCAAAGCACGTCCCACCTTTGCCAACACTGGAGTCTCGGGGTCCGGACTCGCCTTCAGCGTCCATGAGGAAGCAGAAAAGTGACCACTTACCTGGGTGGGGGAGAGGGAGGGGGCTGGGGTGGGGGTGGGCACGAGGCCCGGTCCGTCTCTGGTGCGGGCAGTCGCCGCGCGCCTACCTTGGTCCCGCAGGAATGTCCGGTAGCGGACGGGGGGGCTGTAGGGGCCAGGGCCCCGGCGTGTGTGGGCTCGGACTTGGAGGTCGTAGGCCGTGTCGGGCTTGAGGCCCTGCAGTGTGAGTGCGTTCTCGGCGCCCGGTTCGGGCGCAGCGGGCAGCTCGGTCTCTCGGGCGGGGCCCGGGGCGCCAGCCTCCCGCACGGCCACTGTGTACTTGACAATGGCCCCATTGCGCTCAGCAGGCACGGGCGGCAGCCAGCGGAGCAGGACGGTGCCGGCTGTGGCGTTGCCAGCCGCCTCAAGGATCTGGGGGTGGCCGCGGGGCGTGTCCTCAGGGATGCTCAGGACCTGGGCCGCCTCCTCGCCCAGGCCACCGCGGCTGCGGGCCGCCAGCCGGAACACATACGTGGCCCCCTTGTGCACGCCTGGTGCCGTGTAGTGGTCCTCAGAGGGCGGGAACTCCAACGTGGCCAGCGGCATCGAGTCCTCGCGGCCAAACTGTAGGCGGTAGCCCAGCACCTGGTCCTCGGCGGTGCTGGCTGGGGGCGTCCAGCGTGCCAGCAGGCTGCCCTCAGGGGTCTGCTGCACCGACAGGGTGGGGCGGCCCAGCACTGTGGGGACACGAGGTAAGCTTCAGGGTTAAGAGTCTACCCGTGATAGATAGCAATGTGTAGTAGGTAAGAAGGACACTGGAAAGGGATAATCACAGGCAGGAGGTGGGAGGAGAGCTGTTTGGTTCCACTGTGGGGACTGTAACCAGTGCCATGAAACAAAACGTGTATGAACTGCTGAGGGTAAAACGAATCTGCTTTAAAATCTGCAGCCAAATTAAAAATTAAAAAAAAAAGAGCCGTCCACCCATGAGGCCAAAAACACAGGGTGGGGTTGCAATTTTAAAAAGTGTCTCCTGTGAAGTTCTCACTAGGGAAATGGCATTTGAGCAAAGACTTGAGACAGGAGAGACTAGGAGTTATGGGAGTATCTGAGGGAACAGTGTTCTAGGCAGTAGGAACAGCACAGGCAAAAGCTCTGAGGTGGGACTGGGAGCCACAGCAGTATTTGGGGGAACAGTGTTCTAGGCAGCAGGAACAGCACCAGCAAAGGCCCTGAAGTGAGACCAGGAGCCACAGCAGTATCTGGGGGAACAGTGTTCTAGGCAGCAGGAACAGCACGTGCAAAGGCCCTGAGGTGGGACTGTGCCTAGGATATGCAAGTGACAGCAAGGAGGCCACTGTCTCAGAACACAGTAAAGAAAAGCATTTGGACACTGCAGCAGACCTTGTCTGTGTACTGCCTTTTCCACCCAACAACTCATTCATTTCCTCCTTGTTCATTTGCCTCTCTCCGTCCTGGCACCTGGCTCATACTCATGGGACAAGAAATGTCCAGAAATCTGCCCCTGCCCTGTGGTTCTCACAGTCTGGGGAATTAAATCAACATGCTGAGAGAGAGACAGGGGCCAGAAACAATGTGGGGAAAACCGGGCTTCTCCAAACGAAGCTGGGCTTCTCTGCTGCAGGACTGATCAGGATATTTCATGGCCTGGGCCCCCTGTGAACACTGTGGGCGGCACGTGCCTAGGTTCTGCTTGGTAAGTGCAGCTCTCTTACAACATTCTTGGGTGAGGAGAAGGAGGGCGAGATCTTGGGGTGGGCAGCTCTAGGTGGGTGGTCCTTCCTACCTGCTCCCTTAGTCATGACCACCTTGGGTTTGCTGCGAGCGCCGTCGCCCTTCATAGTGTAGGCGGCTACCGTGATGGAGTAGGCGGTCTCGGGCTGCAGGTTGGTGATGACCATCTCCTGCGGGCAGGGCTGGGGGTCAGTGCTGGGATGGGCTGGCCCAGCCCACCCGCGCCCAGTGCTGGGGTCTAACAAGGGGCCCCGAGCATGGACAGAGACATGCACATGGGCTCATGCACAGACCACGACACCTCACACAGTCATGCTCAAATGAGCACACACAGCCGACCTGCCATCGCTGCCTGGACCAACATCGTTGCCCTCCATCCCCCGACTGTCCACCCTGCAGCAGCCAGAGGGCGCCCATGAGCAGCTCAGTCAGGTCCACCTCCCCTCTGCTCACAGCCCTCCAGGGCTCTGGACTCCCTCAGGGTAAAGCCCAGACCCACCCCAAGCCCACAGGGCCCTCCCCTCCTCCTCTCTCCCCCTTGCTCACTCCACTCCAGCTACACAGGCCTCCTTGCTGTTCCTCCAACTCAGCAGGCCCAGTCAGTCCTGTCCCATGGCCCTTGCACGGGCTGTGCCCGCTTGCAAGAACCAACTTTAAATTTTCCAAATTTTGCAATCTGATTATTGAACACAGCCATTATTTGAAATTAAATATAGAAACTTATAACCAAATAAATTATCTTAAAAGCAAAACCAAAAACCAAGCCAAACTCACTGCCATCGAGCCAATTCCGACTCATAATGACCCCTACTGGGTTTCAAAGGCTGTAAATCTTTACAGAAGTAAATTGCCCCACTTTCCTTCTGCAGAGCGGCTGGTGGGTTGGAACCACCAACCTCCTGGTTAGCAGTCAGATGCCTCAGGCACCGCACCACCAGAGCGCCTCTTAAAAGCAAAGAGAAGGAATACTCAAAACCTAAAGACACCAAAATATCAGCTGCCGTCAAGTTGATCCTGCCTTGTGGCGGCTCCATGTTGTCAGACTAGGATGATGCTCAGAGGGTTTTCAAGGCTGTCACCTTTCAGAAGCAGACTGCCAGGCCTTTCTTCCAAGGCACCTCGGAGTCTGAATCCCAATCTTTTGGGGATTCAGCACTACCCAGGGCCTCCTACTTAAGGCTTGTCCCTTCCTAAATATTTTGCTAAGCTTCTCATATCTGTGCTCTCGAGATCATCTATGGCTACTGAACCTGGTGGTGGAAACATTATACAAGGCTGCTACTTCACAGAAGGCAGGCTATTAGACATTGACACCAGCGTCTCCACCCTGCCCCAACCAGCTGTAACTATACATGTACGTTCTCTCCATCTGATGAAAATCCACCATCCCCACTGGACTGTGACCCTAGGAAGGTGGGCATTCAACACAGCATCAGGCATACAGTAGGTGGTTTCTTTCTTTTTGTTTTTTTTTTTAAAAACACACAACCCACTGTCATTAAGTTGATGCCAACTCAGAGCAACCCTTTAGGAGAGAGCAGAAATGCCCCATGGGGTTTCCAAGGCTATACATCTTTACAGAAACAAAACTGCCTCATCTTTCTCCTTCAAAGTGACTGGTGAGTTCAAACCATTGATCATTTGGTTTTCAGCTAAGTGCTTTAACCACTGTGCCACCAGGGCTCCTTAGTAGGTGCTTCCTCAACAACTGTTCCACAAATCCAGAACACTCATGTGCACCCCGACTCACGCACTCATGTACACCGTCACAGTCACACCTGTGCTGGCATTTACATGCATGCACCCCCACAAACATGATCCGGCATGCCTGGAGATTGAAGGTGGCCTGAGCCAGGATGACAACAGGGCACAGATGCACACACAGAGGGTCTCCTGCCCCTGAACCTCACACTGCACCCTCCCTGGGGTGCCAGTGGTAGAGTCTGAGCTGAAACGCACCTGGGAACTCCCCACCTGGACTTGCGGTCAATTTAATACTAGACGTGAGGCTCCCCGAAGAGCCCGTGGCCCCCTTTTAGAAGCAAAAAGATAACCCAGAAAGAGAAAGCAACTCGCTGAAAGTTGTATAGCGCTGTGACCCTGGCTCAGAGCTTCCTGAGAGAGCCCAGGGGGTGACTGCTGGTAACTGCAAGCCTCCTTGCCACCTGCACCTTCACTGATCGGTCCCCTCACTCACCAGCCAGAATAAAGAGGGGAGTGTGGCCTGAGAGAACATTCTAGGCTAAGGGGAGCCAAGCTGGGCAATGGGGATGTGCTAGCTAGGCTGTTAAATGGCCTGGGTTTGGCTGTGCCAGGCCTGGGTCTCACTGGAGAGGCTGTGGGGGGGGGGGGTGCAGTATGTGGGTATTGAAAAGGTGTCCTAGACAAACGTGTGGGGGGGTTGGGGTTGGGTGCAGAGCTTGGAGGAAGTGGGGGATGGGGTGGCAAGAGCCCCACTGAGTCTGGAGACCTGAGACATGTCCAGGTCACCCCTCCAAGAATCCTTGGGGCTTATAACTGGACCCTAGGGTGGCCAGAGCTTCCCACTTTCCTGATGGAAAGACTGAAGAGACTGAGGCTACCAGAGCTAAGCCGGCTGCATGAGAGGCCCAGGGGCAGGAGATCCTTTCACCAGGGACATGCGGGGGTCACAGCACGGCACGGCCCGCACGCTCGCCAAGCACACGGCAGTGGCCCGGGCCCTACTTACATATTCGGCCGTGTCGTCCGTCTCCCACTGAGCGCGGGAGGAGGGCGGTGAGAGGGGAGGCCAGAGAGGGAGAAGCAGCGAAGGGCAGGTGTGCAGGGGGCCCGCCGCCCACTCGGAGGCCCCGCCCCACCCCTGCCCACCTGGGCATCGGCCAGCATGACGTCCTTGATGCGCGGTGGCCCGCGGGCCTCGGCGCCCTCCATGCGCACGTAGTG